GAGCGCGGCGCGCGCCGGGGTGGAGCCGGGCGCCGGGGGCGGGGCCTGCACGGAGGGGCGGGGTTTATCTGGGGTCAGAGCCTGAGGTAGCGCTGACTGAGATTGACGCCTGGGGCGGTGCCTGGCGAGGGGGCGGGGCCTAGCTGTAATCGAAGCCTGAGGCTGTAAAGACTGAGTCGCTCTGTTCAGAGCGGGGGCCTGAGGCTATGGGGCGGGCTGGAGCGTGATGGACAGCCGAGAGGACCAGTAATGAGACCGACTCGGTGCCGCCGCAAGGCGGGACGGGGCCGGACGTGGGGCTGTGAGGCCCGAAGGCCACGGACGGTCCGCGGGCTCCGCCTAAGCCCGCGAGGCACCGCCTCGCGCCGAGCCCAGCCCGGAGGCCTGGGCCTTAGGCGGCAGGTGTGAGTAGCTGGCAGCGAGCCCCGAGCGCCCCCAGTTAGAGCTTCCGGGACGCCTGCGGGGCCGGGGCCGGGGCCGCCCCTTCCCGGGAGCCGCGCGGGGCGCGGACGGGTCGTCGACAGGTTGTCCCCTCCCCCGTCGGCGAGTCGTCCCTCTCACCGCAGCCCCGCCGTCGGGGGGGCGTCCCTCACACCCCCCTCCCCGTGGACGCCGCGGGTCGCTGTGCGGTCGCCGGGTTGCGCCGCGGGCCCGCGCAGGCCCGAGTGCGGTGGAGGGCCAGGTCTTCAGGGAGCAGGTTTTTTCTGGTTTCTACGGCGTGGAAGCCCCCCCGCGGCGTTTACGGGTGGCTAATCTGGGTGTGCATCTCGCCATTGTCGCGTCTGCCTGTAGCTTTCCTTGTGTAGATGGCGTTTCCTTTGACCAGAGCTACTTGATGGACTTCCAGCTTCACATAGGAAACACGAGACTGAACACGCCTCGTGGAAAAAAAACAGCAGTGTGTACGTTCAGAGTCGGACCCTGTCTTCTCAAGCTCGTAATTTATTAGGTGAGGAGAGAGGAGCACCTAGTGACACACACACACATTACACACACACACACATATAATTTATATGTATACATATATGCATTTTTGTCGGTTGTGGGGCTTGAACTCTCGGCCTGGGCGCTGTCCCTGAGCTCCATCCCCGGGCTCAAAACTGGCGCTTTACCTTTTTGAGCCAAAGCTCTTCTGGTGGTTCATTGGAGACAAGAGTCTGACAAACATTCCTACCTCGACTGCCTTTGAGCCCCGATCCTCAGGTTTCCTGGCTTCAAGTAATATATGTATTTTTTGTTTGGACCAAAATGGTAAAAACTTGGACTCTTAAGTCATTTCAAGCTTTCTTCACTCTAAAATTCTATTTCTTGATAGATGCCCCATTGATTTTAATCTAGTTATTGTCTCTTTAGGACCATCCCCTGGTAATGACTTCCATTCATCTTAGGCAAAAAGTCCCATTCTACAAAATGAGGTAAGCCCACCTTGTTTCATATACCAATAGAGGGGGTTGCTGATTACCATGTATTCTGCAGTTGGTTGTGAGTCTGAGGTAGATAGGCCAACTTGCAGAGCTCGAGATCATACTCAGACCTAGTTTCTGGGTCCGCCTAGCCTAGTGCCCACCTGTCTTAGCTCTGGGGAGTTCCTTTGGTTCCTGGAACACATCTCTTTTACCAATAAGAACTTCCTCTGTAGGCAGGCAGCTTTATCTGGTTTCTTGTTTCCTGTTATCCCCAAATGAAACAATGTAAAAACTAGACAAGTAAACGTTACTTTCTGTTTCAACCTTATGAAAGCCTCCCTGGGGGAAAAAAAAATAAGTTCTTTCCTGGGGCTGGAGGGAGAGCTCAAAGGTAGACCACTTGCGGAGACTCTGGGTTAGTCCCAGCATCTCTCTATCAAAAGGTAACTTAATGAGAGGTGCCTGAGGCAGCATCTCTGTTTTTTCACTCTTGCTGATTAGTAAACTGCCAGATAGTTTCTATGTTGCCTTGTGTAGAAGGTGCTTGGTGCTTATATCTAAGCCCTGGAGCCTTTCTGCCTCTCTAATTACTATATCCCAAGAACCCAGGATAGCACCCAGCCTGCATCTAGTATTCAGTCTACACTTGCTGAAAGATATAATACTTGAAGCCATTGATAGCTCCTTTACAGAAAGGGGCACATATAGAAGAGAGATCTCAATTATAAAGAACATAAAAATTCTAGAAATGAGGCAGGTCATGTTGGCCCACTCTTGTGGTCAAAGCTATTCAGAGGGTAGAGATAGGAGGCTCCAGGGTGGAAGCTGGCTTGGGCAAAGTTGAGAGAGATTCCATTCTGAATTTTTCCTATTGTATCTTCTTTTTGTCTTACTAAAACAGTGATTAGCACAATACTCTCCCGGTTTATTTTGGTTCATGGTTCCAGAGGTTCCAGTCCAAGGTTAGTGCTGGACTTAACCATTGTAGAAGTGTGTATGGTAGATGAGACTGCTAACTTGGTAAGAATGGAGGCAGAGACGGAGAGGCAGGGGCCCAGTCTCCATCAACGGCACACCTCCAATAACCCAAGGACTTTTGGCTAGCTCTCTCTCCTGCAACAGTGCCACTCGGGGACCAAGCCTTTTACACATGGACTTTGGGGGTTGTACATCCAAACATGACAGATACTCTGGAAAACAGGACAGGGTACCCGTGGGCCTGCTTCCTAAGGAAAGGGCCAGTAGGGAGTAGCTGGGAGTGGTCCCTGGGGTGAGATGTCATGCTGGTGGCTTCCTGACACCCTGACTTTTAATTTACCATCCATATAGTCCTTTCAAATGTTTCCGGCTGATTCATTAATTCCCTTATGTCACTGCCATAGAGAAAAGTTCCTAGCAGGTCATTGCTATTATTAAAAGATGCTTCATTGGGTCCACCTAGGAAAGGGTTTGGGACACACCCACATCCTCCCCCCCCCCCTTGCCGCCACAGATGGGGCCAGGAAGTCTTCGAGTTACCACTAGAGGCTCAGATGGGTATGCTTAGCTTTCAAGCAGAGGCTTTTGCCTGGCCACTAGCCAACCCAACACTGGTACCCAGTGTACCTTGATCAGCCTTCCTGAGAATGTTGTGATTATGTTTACTCCATAAGTAGAGTACAGAAACAAGACTCTAGGATGAGAACGCTTTTGCCTTCTCATAGTTGAAGTGACCCTTGCCTGTCAGTGCCGACATTGAGCCAGTGAATGCTGTGTCAGAGTGGTCTCCACCTGAAAGACAAATACTTGATTGTTATCTAGAACTTTCCACCACCCTTCCTGGTGCTTATACAATTAAGACCAGTCTCCACAAGTGAGCAGTAGGATTCCAGGGAAACAGCCAGAAGTGGGACAGAGGCCAAGGAAACAGCATAGCTCAGGCAGTGGCACACTGCCAGGATAGTTCATTTCTCATTATGTCAACCTTCTCTTTTCTCTGTAAGATGAGTGTAAGGTCCTTTGCTGGAAAGAGTTCTTTAGCCTCACTAGCTTAGTTTCCTCATACATGAAAGGAATACTGTAATCATCCTATGTAGGTAAAATGGACACCACCAATGTCAGAGGAAATGAAATGGATGTTTACATTTTGAAGTCATAGGTTACTAGCCATTCTCCAAAATGCCCTTATTAATTTGCACCTCTATTTGTTTACAGAAATCTGTTGCCAATTCTTGTTAGGTTTTTAAAAAGAGGTAGCCAAGTAAGAACTGCACACCGCACGTGGTTTTCAGGTAAGGGGTAGGTTTATTCATCGTTCAGGCTGGCACTAAGCCATCTTGGTCCTCCACGTGGTGGGGAAAGGCCTGGGAAAGAGAGCGAAAGAGAGACAGCTGGGGAAAAGAGCTAAGAGAGAGCTAGAAAAGAGAGAAAATAGCTAGAAAAGAGCTAGAAAAGAGCAGAGAGAGCAGAGAGAGGGCGTCTGGGTCGGGGTAGACCTTATCTAGGGTATGGGCGGAGAAAGGTGTGGCCACATCAAATTCAGATGTGACCTCAGCGGATGCAGATGTGACCTCTTCCAGGTGTCCCAGTTGCCTAGGTAACGCAGATACTGGGTGGAGACTTCGCTGCAAGGAGGGTGGAGTCTGCTAGCCATCCAGGAGCAGGCCTTACAATTCTTTCTTTTCTTTTCTTTTTTTTTTTGTCTGTCATGGAGCTTGAAATCTGGGCCTGGGTGCCATCCCTCAGCTCTTCAGCTCAAGGTGAGCACTCTACCACTTGAGCCACAGCACCACTTCTGGTTTTCTGCTGGTTTATTGGAGATGAGTCTCACAGACTTTCCTGCCCGGGCTGGCTTTGAACCGCAATCCTCAGATCTCAGCCTCCTAACTAGCTAGGATGACAGGTGTGAGCCACTGGAGTTCTGCTGTTACCAATTCTTTTTGTTGTTAGGTGTTGCTCTCAGGTATTTCCCCCCCTACCCCAAGGCTAAATTTCAGTAGTGATGGCCTCCAGGGTTGTCTTTGTGAGGATCTGGACTTTGAGTAC